GAGTGCCGGCGGTGGGGTGGTTCAAATAGCCTCGGCTATCACCTCATTATGTCCGGTCGTGATGGTCAAGTGGATTAAGGCGTCTTGTACATACCAGTTGCGTTGCTCCTGGGAGTATGGGTTCGAGTCACTTCTGGGGTGTGAGTTTTCAGTTGCATATTGTCCTGGGGACCATTCAGGCTTGTTCGCATTTGTGTTCCTCACGTGTGCCCCAAAGAATGAGGTGATTTGGTAAAATGCTATGCCCAAGATTACTATCCGAGTGCCGGCGGTGGGGTGGTTCAAATAGCCTCGGCTATCACCTCATTATGTCCGGTCGTGATGGTCAAGTGGATTAAGGCGTCTTGTACATACCAGTTGCGTTGCTCCTGGGAGTATGGGTTCGAGTCACTTCTGGGGTGTGAGTTTTCAGTTGCATATTGTCCTGGGGACCATTCAGGCTTGTTCGCATTTGTGTTCCTCACGTGTGCCCCAAAGAATGAGGTGATTTGGTAAAATGCTATGCCCAAGATTACTATCCGAGTGCCGGCGGTGGGGTGGTTCAAATAGCCTCGGCTATCACCTCATTATGTCCGGTCGTGATGGTCAAGTGGATTAAGGCGTCTTGTACATACCAGTTGCGTTGCTCCTGGGAGTATGGGTTCGAGTCACTTCTGGGGTGTGAGTTTTCAGTTGCATATTGTCCTGGGGACCATTCAGGCTTGTTCGCATTTGTGTTCCTCACGTGTGCCCCAAAGAATGAGGTGATTTGGTAAAATGCTATGCCCAAGATTACTATCCGAGTGCCGGCGGTGGGGTGGTTCAAATAGCCTCGGCTATCACCTCATTATGTCCGGTCGTGATGGTCAAGTGGATTAAGGCGTCTTGTACATACCAGTTGCGTTGCTCCTGGGAGTATGGGTTCGAGTCACTTCTGGGGTGTGAGTTTTCAGTTGCATATTGTCCTGGGGACCATTCAGGCTTGTTCGCATTTGTGTTCCTCACGTGTGCCCCAAAGAATGAGGTGATTTGGTAAAATGCTATGCCCAAGATTACTATCCGAGTGCCGGCGGTGGGGTGGTTCAAATAGCCTCGGCTATCACCTCATTATGTCCGGTCGTGATGGTCAAGTGGATTAAGGCGTCTTGTACATACCAGTTGCGTTGCTCCTGGGAGTATGGGTTCGAGTCACTTCTGGGGTGTGAGTTTTCAGTTGCATATTGTCCTGGGGACCATTCAGGCTTGTTCGCATTTGTGTTCCTCACGTGTGCCCCAAAGAATGAGGTGATTTGGTAAAATGCTATGCCCAAGATTACTATCCGAGTGCCGGCGGTGGGGTGGTTCAAATAGCCTCGGCTATCACCTCATTATGTCCGGTCGTGATGGTCAAGTGGATTAAGGCGTCTTGTACATACCAGTTGCGTTGCTCCTGGGAGTATGGGTTCGAGTCACTTCTGGGGTGTGAGTTTTCAGTTGCATATTGTCCTGGGGACCATTCAGGCTTGTTCGCATTTGTGTTCCTCACGTGTGCCCCAAAGAATGAGGTGATTTGGTAAAATGCTATGCCCAAGATTACTATCCGAGTGCCGGCGGTGGGGTGGTTCAAATAGCCTCGGCTATCACCTCATTATGTCCGGTCGTGATGGTCAAGTGGATTAAGGCGTCTTGTACATACCAGTTGCGTTGCTCCTGGGAGTATGGGTTCGAGTCACTTCTGGGGTGTGAGTTTTCAGTTGCATATTGTCCTGGGGACCATTCAGGCTTGTTCGCATTTGTGTTCCTCACGTGTGCCCCAAAGAATGAGGTGATTTGGTAAAATGCTATGCCCAAGATTACTATCCGAGTGCCGGCGGTGGGGTGGTTCAAATAGCCTCGGCTATCACCTCATTATGTCCGGTCGTGATGGTCAAGTGGATTAAGGCGTCTTGTACATACCAGTTGCGTTGCTCCTGGGAGTATGGGTTCGAGTCACTTCTGGGGTGTGAGTTTTCAGTTGCATATTGTCCTGGGGACCATTCAGGCTTGTTCGCATTTGTGTTCCTCACGTGTGCCCCAAAGAATGAGGTGATTTGGTAAAATGCTATGCCCAAGATTACTATCCGAGTGCCGGCGGTGGGGTGGTTCAAATAGCCTCGGCTATCACCTCATTATGTCCGGTCGTGATGGTCAAGTGGATTAAGGCGTCTTGTACATACCAGTTGCGTTGCTCCTGGGAGTATGGGTTCGAGTCACTTCTGGGGTGTGAGTTTTCAGTTGCATATTGTCCTGGGGACCATTCAGGCTTGTTCGCATTTGTGTTCCTCACGTGTGCCCCAAAGAATGAGGTGATTTGGTAAAATGCTATGCCCAAGATTACTATCCGAGTGCCGGCGGTGGGGTGGTTCAAATAGCCTCGGCTATCACCTCATTATGTCCGGTCGTGATGGTCAAGTGGATTAAGGCGTCTTGTACATACCAGTTGCGTTGCTCCTGGGAGTATGGGTTCGAGTCACTTCTGGGGTGTGAGTTTTCAGTTGCATATTGTCCTGGGGACCATTCAGGCTTGTTCGCATTTGTGTTCCTCACGTGTGCCCCAAAGAATGAGGTGATTTGGTAAAATGCTATGCCCAAGATTACTATCCGAGTGCCGGCGGTGGGGTGGTTCAAATAGCCTCGGCTATCACCTCATTATGTCCGGTCGTGATGGTCAAGTGGATTAAGGCGTCTTGTACATACCAGTTGCGTTGCTCCTGGGAGTATGGGTTCGAGTCACTTCTGGGGTGTGAGTTTTCAGTTGCATATTGTCCTGGGGACCATTCAGGCTTGTTCGCATTTGTGTTCCTCACGTGTGCCCCAAAGAATGAGGTGATTTGGTAAAATGCTATGCCCAAGATTACTATCCGAGTGCCGGCGGTGGGGTGGTTCAAATAGCCTCGGCTATCACCTCATTATGTCCGGTCGTGATGGTCAAGTGGATTAAGGCGTCTTGTACATACCAGTTGCGTTGCTCCTGGGAGTATGGGTTCGAGTCACTTCTGGGGTGTGAGTTTTCAGTTGCATATTGTCCTGGGGACCATTCAGGCTTGTTCGCATTTGTGTTCCTCACGTGTGCCCCAAAGAATGAGGTGATTTGGTAAAATGCTATGCCCAAGATTACTATCCGAGTGCCGGCGGTGGGGTGGTTCAAATAGCCTCGGCTATCACCTCATTATGTCCGGTCGTGATGGTCAAGTGGATTAAGGCGTCTTGTACATACCAGTTGCGTTGCTCCTGGGAGTATGGGTTCGAGTCACTTCTGGGGTGTGAGTTTTCAGTTGCATATTGTCCTGGGGACCATTCAGGCTTGTTCGCATTTGTGTTCCTCACGTGTGCCCCAAAGAATGAGGTGATTTGGTAAAATGCTATGCCCAAGATTACTATCCGAGTGCCGGCGGTGGGGTGGTTCAAATAGCCTCGGCTATCACCTCATTATGTCCGGTCGTGATGGTCAAGTGGATTAAGGCGTCTTGTACATACCAGTTGCGTGGTGGGTTCTGAGTATGGGTTCGAGTCACTTCTGGGGTGTGAGTTTTCAGTTGCATATTGTCCTGGGGACCATTCAGGCTTGTTCGCATTTGTGTTCCTCACGTGTGCCCCAAAGAATGAGGTGATTTGGTAAATGCTATGCCCAAGATTACTATCCGAGTGCCGGCGGTGGGGTGGTTCAAATAGCCTCGGCTATCACCTCATTATGTCCGGTCGTGATGGTCAAGTGGATTAAGGCGTCTTGTACATACCAGTTGCGTTGCTCCTGGGAGTATGGGTTCGAGTCACTTCTGGGGTGTGAGTTTTCAGTTGCATATTGTCCTGGGGACCATTCAGGCTTGTTCGCATTTGTGTTCCTCACGTGTGCCCCAAAGAATGAGGTGATTTGGTAAAATGCTATGCCCAAGATTACTATCCGAGTGCCGGCGGTGGGGTGGTTCAAATAGCCTCGGCTATCACCTCATTATGTCCGGTCGTGATGGTCAAGTGGATTAAGGCGTCTTGTACATACCAGTTGCGTTGCTCCTGGGAGTATGGGTTCGAGTCACTTCTGGGGTGTGAGTTTTCAGTTGCATATTGTCCTGGGGACCATTCAGGCTTGTTCGCATTATATATATATATATATATATATATATATATATATATATATATATATATATATATATATATATATATATGCGAACAAGCTTGAATGGTCCCCAAGCGTATATGCGTCTGAAAACTCCACACCCCAGAAGTGACTGGAACCCGGACCGCCAGGAGCACATTGCAACTGGTGTTACGGTGCCTTAAACCAGTTTGTATGGTCACTTATGGTCGAGTGGTTGTTGGGACTATTGGAACTATTGTGGGTTGCATCTTGGGGAAAGTCAGTCATTGAACGGGGCTCTAGTGTGCCCCCGATAATCCTAATAGGTTTCCTGTCCCAGACGTTGGGAAACATTAATTTCATCAGTGTGTCCAAATAATATTGTCAAAATGATGAAATCAATTGAGTAAAGACAATTCAAAGTAAGGGATATGTATATCCGCCATGCTTGCTAATATGTTCTCCCCACACAGATTACATCCACTACGGGCTCACCATAGCTCGTGCTACTTGGAACTTTTGGTTCCCAGTAGCGAATCTTAAACATCATCATCTCCCCCCAGGTATCCATCTGTGCCGGGTGCAACGTGGTGCGGCCGTGGGGAGCCTGTGTCACGGGCATAGTGGGTGGAGCAGTGTTCCTCGCTATCCACTCTCTGCTGCCCAAACTGAAGGGTACGTCCGCTCCGTCTTTACTAGTGTGATATATTATTGTTTAAATTGGGTTTCTCGGCTATTTATTGTTGTCAAGTTGGCACTACATTTCCAGCTTTACTTTAATTAAGATTTTAGTATTGCAACTTCAAGAAATAAAGGTTAGATTCTGTGGAATATTTTGAAGGACAAGATATTCCTTTGTTATCTTTTAACTGTTGCTATCGTTATACTTAATTTTTCCGAATAAGATGCAGCTGTGTTTCTTCCACAGTTGACGACCCACTTGATGCTGTGGCTGTACACATGGGAGGTGGGTTGTGGGAGCTGGTTGCTGTGGCCCTCTTCCAGGATGGTGGCATTGTGTACGGGGGCAGCGCGGAGGTCCTCGCCTGGAACATAGTGGGGGCGCTGGCCATAGTGGCCTGGTCTGGTGGTCTTTGTTTGCTTATGTTTGGTTCCCTCAGGCTGCTCGGCGTCTTGAGGGTGCCTCCAGAAATGGAAATTGCAGGCAAGTGAATTTATCTTAATAGATATAACTTTTTTTTTACTGTATATTTTGTAGATCTTCATGTTCCTATACTCTTAGTGTTTTGAGTATTTCCTGTAATTGTCATATAACAATCTTAAGAGCTATCTTAAGATCACTTTCACTTATCACTTTCTTTTGATAATTATTTCCCAACAATATTCAGATTTATTATATTCTCTCACGTAATCTTTCTAAATGTAGATTATAAAATACTGGTTCAATAGATTTGAAATATCGCTTATCGTCGTATATTCACTAACAGTCTGCTATAGTTCTGATCTACAATATTCTTGCTGGTTGGTCAAGCTATTGCTATGGCCTTAATAACCCTTTAGACTAATGAACAAATCCACAAGGGCCGTGACGAGGATTCGAACCTGCGTCCGAGAGCATCCCAGACGCTGCCTTAATTGACTGAGCTACGACATGGTAAAAGAGTTGAAATCTTTAGACTAGAAGCTGATTAGCCTGAAACCCAACAAAACAGTCATAAAACTCACACTAGCAATCACTTATCTCTTACTGATGTTCAGTACTTGAGATCACAACATTATTAATTTGTTGTCATCAGTCACTAAATACTTCACTTGTATTTACCCACTAAGTCACTTGTGGGTAAATACTGGTTCAGTAACAGGGTTGTTGATTTGTGGAACTAATTGCCGCGTAACATGGTGGAGGTGGGGTCCCTCTTTTGTTTCAAGCATGGGTTGGACATGTATATGAGTGGGATTAGGTGATTATAAATAGGAGCTGCCTCGTATGGGCCAATAGGCCTTCTGCAGTTGCCTTTGTTCTTATGTTCTAAGCAATTCACAATGTTACAGATCTGCCACCCAACATGTCTGCCCCATGGAAATCCGGCTGGAGACTCCCGGCGCCGTACCCAACACACCTGGTACAGTGGAAGGTGTCCGAGGCGCGAGCACCTCACGGTAACGCTTCCCATCTCACATACAACCTCACTCAACCCATACACAACGCAAGTGAATTCCATCCCAGTTATGACAGGTCGAGCTATGATCTAGCGGGACGGCTGCGACACCATAATTATGAAGAAACGAGAGGTTACCAAGGACCTACGACGGTGGCATGATGGTTGACACGCGTTAGGGGGGGGGGTAGAAATAGCCTAAGCTACTCTACCCCTTTGAGATGTATTTCTTTCTTGTCTCAATAAACATACTTGAACTTGGTTGACACGCGCCTATCGCCCCTGTTCATCCAGCAGTAAACGGGGATTTGGCTGTACATCGATTGGAGGATCTTGTTCTGGGGAAAATATGCTGGTCAAGCTTTAACAAGGTCCATGATGAGGAACAGTTCTTAGCTTGCAGAAATGGTTAAAAACTTGGGTTCCTTCTCCTTTACACTCTAGAGGTAATGATGTAGGCTAACAGGCAGTAGGATAACTCCAAGCAGAAATTGTATGCAAAGACATTAACCGGTTTGGTCTTATTGTGTTTGATTTTAGTTAAGAAAGTTATGGGCTCCGAGCTTGAAATACAGTACAGTAGTCTAGACGTAGGTACATAAACAATATCTAAAGTTGAGCACTTCATTTTAAAGCCCTTGTGTTCAAGTTGGTTCTACAAGTCCTAAAATATGTTTGGTTATTCGCGCACGTTGCTTTATTTAAAAAATTCGTGAACTATTATGATGAATGCATTTTGTTCCAGAGCGAGAGGACAGTATTTCAACATAATAAATGAGATGTGAATTGTTATAAATGGATTAATACATTAACTGTTGTGTAAATAACTTTGCATTGAACAAGTTGTCATAATTCTATTAACTGTCTGTTGTATGCTTCGCGAGGTTTTAAATATTTTCGTCCATGTCTAATGAAGGTAACTGAGAGGACAGATTGATTGATGAAGATTAAGCCACCCAAAAGGTGGCACGGGCATGAATAGCCTTTAAGTGGTGGCCCTTTTAAGCCATTACCAGTATCAAGAGCTAATACTGAGGATCTGTGGAGGTGCGACTGCACCCAGCGTGACGGGAGATGTCTCCCGGACCAAATGGTGACCAGATGGTGTGAGAGGACAGGCTCCAGATGGAGTTGAGTATGTCAACCATACTCAGGAACACTCCAGTCAGATTCACATCCAGTAAAAATGTCCATTGCCTCATCCACCGCCCAGTGTTTATCCACTTGAATAGTTTTCTAGGATTTCATGTGTTGGAATCCTTAGGATTAAGCTTTTAAGTGCCTTGGAGAAGTCTAATGACAGCACATCATCTGCCAAAATTGTATTCACGAAACTGGAAAGCATTTCCAGTTATGGGCTTTTTTTTTATTAACACATTTTAGTACATCACAATCGACTTGAGAATGATCCAGGACGGACCGAAATGTCGTCATCCCTTCATCTTGTGGTCTGGTCAACATACTTCAGCCACGTTATTTTGACTCCTCGCCTGCATAACAAAATCTAAATTTGTGCAGCTACCCTAGACTATATGAAGGGGAGTACAATGTCAAAAACGCTTACGGGCTCTATGTAGCTCACCATAGCCGGTGCTACATGGACACTTCGTTCTGAGTAGCTAAATATGAAACAACAACAACAACATCAAAAACTAGCTGTGAGATGCTAAAAATCCCCATCACACAGGATGGTTAGTCATACAGAGGCGGTTTGTTAGGGATGTTTTGTTTTTTTCAGCGAATCTGAAATATTATAATTATTTTTAGACGCTTCTTATTAAGGCATCAAAGAAGGTATAAAATGAAGCCATGAGAATAATCTTAGGATGACCAAGAAATGTTATGATTGAGATAATGAGGATGGAGTTGAATCTGAAGAGTATTGGGGATAGAATTTCAGAGATAAATGTAGCCTCTGCCATTGGATTAATGAGAGGTGGGGGAGCTAATGAATTAATCCTCTCAGTTCAAAAGGTGGGAAGTAATGCACAATGTATGATAAAGTATAATAAGAGAGCATATATGAGTACCTTATGTTCTAATGTTATAAAGTATGATGCTATTCCAAAATGGTTGCTTTGCCTAAGAGACAATTCACATCATCATGGGAAGATTGTAACGTAGATGTAGTAATTATTCCTATGCAAAAGAAAAAAGTATGTATGAGATAGGAGAGCTGAGGGCAACATATGATTGTAGCTACTCGGAACACAAAAGTTCCAAATATCAAGGGCTATGGTGAGCCCGCAGGAGCTACAAGCGCTTTGCCCCAAGAGTGTAACACATATATGCTGTGTTTACTATATTACCTGCAATGTAAAATGTGATTCTTTTACTGTGATTTGTGGATTTGTACTCATTGGATTTGTGCGCCCCTTGAGGGACTTGAAGTAGAGGAGGGTAGGAATAGCTTAAGATACTTTATCCCTTTGAGATGTATTTTTAGTCTCAATAAACGTACTTGAACTTGATTAAGGCATCGCTCGTCCATGAGGCTGTGTACTTTTAAGTGGTTCATAACGTGTGATTCAGGTTCTTTATTTAGATTTAACAAATGTATACAATGGTAATGTTATACCGCTTATATTTATATTATAGTGATTGCATTTCTAATAAAGGATCAGTATGTAAGTAAGCGTATCGTACTCAATCATTAATAGTCTCGGGAAGAATTTACAGCTATGGAAGATTAATTTGATTAGATGGGAGTTGGCTGTTACAGTTATTACTATGATATCCAGTCAAGAAATTACTATGATATCCAGTCAATAAATAACAAGTCAAGAATAATGTCTCTAGTTATAAGCAGACTAAATACTGAGAAGGGGAAGGAGATTAGTATAACTAAATATGTCGGTTTGCATGAGGAGTCCAGGAAAAATGAAGCTAAAACCAAACTTAAATATTCCTAGACTTAAATAAATATTTAATATATATATATGAAATATTCCTATAATATAACTATTATAATATAAATCATATATTTGACCGTGCACATCGATATGTACTATATTAGGTCTCAGATATCGTGTATTAGGCCTATGATGGTTAGGTTATAAAATAAATAAATAAATGTTTATTTAGGTAAGGTACTTACATACAAGAGATTTTACAAAGATTGATGGATTTATATGGATGGATGGATTGTTAGGTTTTATTAGCAACATAAATACAAAAGTGGGATTAAGGCAACATAAATATGAGTGGGATTGGGTGGTTATGTTGACCAGACCACACACTAGAAGGTGAAGGGACGACAATATACTATATACTAGTCGTCCCTTCACCTTCTAGTGTGTGGTCTGGTCAACATACTTTAGCCACGTTATTGTGAGTCATCGCCTGTATTGGGTGGTTATAAATAGGAGCTGCCTCGTATGGGCCAATATAGGCCTTCTGCAGTTACCTTGTTCTTATGTTCTTAAAAACTTTTCCGGTTTGTCTAAACTCTATAATACTAAAGTCTAGTTTCTAATTGTGTATTACGTCAACATATGTACGATAGTGAACATCGTTACTATAAACGCTATATAAACAAGAGGATGGGCTAACTAACATATATTGTAGCCCATTTTCATGTTTAGGTAGTAACGATGAAGACCGTCGTACATATATTGACGTAAAAGGCAATTAGAAAGTAGAAATCGGTACTATTGAATTTGGACAAACCGTTAAAGTTTTTGTACTGATGTTGCAAAGAAAACTTATCCTAACCTAACCTTCCTAGGGCTAATACACACTATCTGAGGCATAATATAGTACATATATGAGCAGGCGAAGAGTCACAATAACGTGGCTAAAGTATGTTGACCAGACCACACACTAGAAGGTGAAGGGACGACAACGTTTCGGTCCGTCCTGGACCATTCTCAAGTCGATTGAGAATGTGTATATCACATACATATATGTGTTATACTAAGTCAAGGAATATTTAAGTTGGTTTTTAGCTTTATTTGTTTCGGACAATAAAATGAATAGTACCAAATTCTACTATCTAATTGTCTATTACGTCTATGCATATACGATGGTCTACAGAAAGTAGATTACAGTTACAGAAAGTACTATCTTAACAGGAGTGTGGGTTGTGCATTATAATAAAACATTCAAAAGATCTCAGGCTCCACCCGCACCACTGCCGGCTTGGCTCAACTCTCACTTAAAAACATCCAATAGCCACCATTCACACAAGTATTAATGTAACCTGTGGTTAAGAGTGTAAAGTTTTATACATTTAACCACATATCCTTATAGCATAGCTAAATTAGCTAGAAGAGTATTATCCTCGTACGTTTGAGAGTGCATTAATATAACCACCACTCTATATAATATAAATTATATATTATACTCACAAGATCACTGCTCGTACTTTGTAGGATCGAGGGTCGTAACAGCCAATCCATGTTTTACAAATAACCACCATGCACTCTGGTGTAGTTAATGGAGTTCTCCACCAAACGCGACGACCTTCAAATGCACGTTAGTGTGATTTCGACGTTTCGGTCCGTCCTGGACCATTCTCAAGTCGATCACAATCGACTTGAGAATGGTCCAGGACGGACCGAAACGTCGTCGTCTCTTCAATTTCTAGTGTGTGGTCTGGTCAACATACTTCAGCCACGTTATTGTGACTCATTGCCTGCAGTGTGATTTCCTTGGGTATACATCAATGAACTTTTGCTTAGTTGCAGAGGGTCCTTTCACAAATTCAGGAAGAATTTGTTGATTCTTTTGTTGGAAAACTTGTATCACTGTGTGAGAAGTCGACACGGTCCCAGTTTGAGTAAATTGTTTCTCAAAAATTTGTTTTTGTTTACACTCTTGTCAGCTTCAGTTTGTTTGTTAATAATACCATGCCAAGTGCTTATGTTTAGAGTTCCATATAGATGTAGAAAGGAAACATTATTTAAAATTCCAAAATTACAACAAAAAGCTTACATTGTGATTGTTTAACATTCATTTATAAGTAATAAATGTTTCATGTTATCAACAGTTCTAAATACA